TTGCGACTATCACGCAATTCTGACTTTATAACTCGCAATTGCGACTTCATATCACGCAATTCTGACTTTATAACTCGTAATTGCGACTTTATATCATACGATTCTGACTTTATAACTCACAATTGTGCCTTTTATTACTCAGTTCTGAGTTTATAACTCACTTATTGCGACTTTATATCATGCAATTTTGACTTCAAATCATGCAATTCTAACTAACACAATTGCGACTTTATCACTCAATTATGACTTTAAAACTCGCAATTGCGAATTTATATCTCGCAATTCTGACTTTATAACTCGCAATTGCGAATTTATATCTCGCAATTCTGACTTTATAACTTGCAATTGTGACTTTATGTCATATAATTCTGACTTTATAACTCGCAGTTGTGCTTTTTATTACGCAATTCTGACTTTATGACTCACAATTGCGACTTTGAATCATACATTTCTGACTTCATGTCACGCAATTCTAACTAACAGAATTGTGACTTCATCACGCAATTCTAACTTTAAAACTCGCAATTGCGAATTTATATCTCGCAATTCTGACTTTATAACTCGCAATTGTGACTTTATGTCATATAATTCTGACTTTATAACTCGCAGTTGCGCCTTTTATTACGCAATTCTGACTTTATGACTCACAATTGAGACTTTATATCATACATTTCTGACTTCATGTCACGCAATTCTAACTAACAGAATTGTCACGCAATTCTGACTTTAAAACTCGCAATTGCGACTTCATATCACGCAATTCTGACTTTATAACTCACAATTGCGACTTTATATCATGCAATTCTGACTTTATAACTCACAATTGCGACTTTATGTCATATAATTCTGACTTTATAACTTGCATTTCTGACTATAACACAATTGCGACTTCATATCATGGAATTCTGACTTTATAACTCGCAATTGCAACTTTATATCATCCAATTCTAAGAAAAAAAATCTGAATTGTAAGAGAAAAAGTCAGAATTACATTTTTAATTTTTTTATTCTGTGGCGGAAACAAGCTTCCATAGAGATTGGTTAGACTACATGTAACAACATTAAAGGGGCTATATGTAAGAATTTTCACGTATTAATCACATTCTTATTGCAAATGACAGCTTGAACAGTTTGTAAGAAATGTAAAATGCGAGACCTTCCTCAACGTGTCTATGAAAGCTTGTCGACTGATTTTAGGACTTTTTTGTTTTTGCATTTTGCATATAACACCTAGCGTTAGACCTTAGTATATATAATCTTAATAAGAGCTCATATTATATATCATTTATTAAATTAGTAGTTCACATTTGTGAAAGTTAAGCACTTCCTTTCACTGATTGTTACAAAAAGATTTTTTTAAGTTTCTGATGTTATTTTGGAAAATGCCTCTTAATGAAGAATAAAATTGTCAGTAGTTTTCTGCCATTTTTCAGCTTTTATCCTGTTAATGCACAGATTCAGAGAAGACTGCGTTTTAAACAGGAGGTCATCAAAAATGTTTTTTCTTATACTTTTTTTTGAGGAAGCAATGTTAAGATGTTCTTTGAAACCACAATGGTCACTCAGCTTCCTCTTGACGAAACATAGAGCCACACAAAACCCACATAAATGCAGGGCTGGCCGTGCTCGAACTAAAAGCTGAGCCCTTGAACAGTTTCGAGAGGAGCTATCTGCAATTGCTCCGGTACAATGCTTGCCACAGTTTTCTTTAAACAGGAAATTCCTACTTTTCCACTCTAATATAGGTTCTGTAATGAGTACCTGTCTCACCCGGTCTTGATAACTCACACTTTTCCATGAAGTTTCCCTTGGCGAGGTGTATCGAACGCTCGATCCGTGTTACTGGCTCTCCCAGTGGTAGATGCTGAAAAACATCTGTGATCAAATCAGTTTTAACTAGAGTTAGACAACACAATCTGAACTCTTAAACCAGCAAGTCTGTACAGAAGAGAGTTCACTAATCACTTAAAACAGCCGGGTTATGGTTATTATATGTACAGGTGAAACTATAAAATTAGAATATCGTGCATAAGTTCTTTTATTTCAGTAGTTCAACTTAAAAGGTGAAACTAATATATTGTACAGCATAATTATGCAAAGTGAGATATTTATAGCCTTTATTTGTTATCATTTTGATGGTTATGGATTACAGCTTATGAAAACCTTTTAACAATATTCTAATTTTTAATTTGGAGTTTTCAAATCTGTAAGTCATAACCATCAAAATGATAATACTTGAAATATATATATATATATTTCAAACATTAGGTGTTTGAAAAAAAAAATAGATTAGAAATAGAATTAATAAGATTAATAGATAAAGCTATAACAGAAGATTATACTACATTACAGTTTTGCCAGCTGGGATGTAAAAACTGTGATGCTCAATATTTCAAAACTACCCTAAACGGAGATAGAACCTTATAATTCTAAGCTCACGATATATATATATATATATATATCCAGCCCGTTCTCATCCTTTAACGTCATATAGAACGCTATGCAAAAACGGCGCTATACTACGCACATGGCACCCTTTATGCGTTGCAGCTATATATATATATATATATATATATATATATGTATAAATATGTATAAATATGATTCCAAGAAATAAACAAATGTCATTCTAATGTCAATACTGCATTTTGTTTGGAGAATGTTCTTTTGTCAGGTGTTTCTCATTAAGCTGTAATTTTAAACTTGTTATGTGGATTTAACAAATTACGTGTGCTCGTAAATGTCATTTTCTATTAATTGAGTGCTTGTTATCTGTGAACACCTGTACTAAATAACCTGTTATTAAAATAACTTATTATTGAGGGGGAAAAAAAGCTTTCAATAGCTTTGAAAAAGCAGCAGACTGAAGACAGACCAAGCAAAGTTCGAATTGATGGAGTATGGTAAATAATTGCAAATATTAATAAACCCAGACCCCTAACTCTTACTATTATTGCACTCAGTATAAACTGATAGAGCTGTAAGCTAATGTTCTTCCTCTAATATTGTCCTATTTTCCAGTACAAATATATAAACATTCTTAAATGAATATTCACTGAAAACAAGTTTTCTGTTATCTCTGCAACTGTAAATTATTTTCTTTGTTTAATAACAATGTTTTATACACTCTAAACGATTATAAGCTGTTTTAACCCAAATTTGGGTCAAATATGGACAAACCCAAATGTTGGGTTAAAAATGTCATTTAAAATTTAGCCCAACTTCAACTTTTACTTTCAACTGTAATTTTTGTAATTACACTTTTAACCCAACATTTGGGTTTGTCCATATTTGATGCAAATTTGGGTTGATACAACCCAGAATTTTAGAGTGATTCTATTTCTAGAACTCTTTAAGATGCAAAATATCTTAAAGGTAAATTAAAATGAAAAGAAAATCCATAGTTTGCCCACACAACAGCAGATAAATGTACTGTTTGTACAAATGGTCAAACCCAAACATTGGGTTAAAAATTGTATTTAAAAATGTAACCCAACGCCTGGGTTTGTCCATATTTGACCCAAAGTTGGGTTGAAACAACCCATCATTTTTTAGTGTGTACAAATAATTCTTATGTTTTAGTTACCATCTCTCAGTCATTTCCATTAATGTTAGTCAGTTGTTTAATGTAGTATTTAAAAGAGTTTCTGTCCAAAAACAAAACAACACTATAAACAATGATGGGTTGTTTGAACCCAAATTTGGATAAAATATGGACAAACCCAAATGTTGGGTTAAAAATATAATTTAAATTTTTAACCCATCTTTAACTTTCACTTTCAACTGTATTTTTATAATTGTATTTTAACCCAAAATTTGGGTTTGTCCATATTTGATGCAAATTTGGGTTGAAACAACCCAGCATATTTTAGGGTGAAGGAAAATCTTGCGTAACATACATGAATAAAACATTGCATGAAATAAAAAGTTTTGTAAATTGAAGTAATAAAGACCCATGATGATTTAAACTTTTCAATTATATTATGCCATGTTTCAATTATATTAGACTAAATGTTATAAACACAAGTTGTGGTTTTGGAGAAGTCTGTACTGGTTGGGTTCAGGGTAACAAGAACTGAAATGTTTGCAGGTAAAGCCACACAGTTATGAGCTCATATATTTATAATGTAAACATTACAGCGGAAAAACACACGGCTGACGTTCTCTTTGATAGAAATGTGCATTTAAGTGCATTACACACTCTGACTTTAGGCAGGATTGAAAAAACATTGCTGGTTCATCCATTGGCATTTGCTTGACTGTCTTGTCTGGGAGTTCGAGTCATGTGATGCTTTAGTTAGATTAATATGGATATAACGTGAACATGTGGGTGAAGATTTCAGGCTTAGTCGACCTTTGAAGGGCAAGATAAAACTTAATGATTCAAACTTAAAACATGAGTATTTTCAGGGTGGATGAAAAGCGTCCAGATGCTCCAGTGTCGGTAGAAATCTACTACAGATCAAATGTTCTTGTAACTGGTTTTGCAAATTATATCCCAGGGACCAAAATTATAAAAATATCTCTATTAAGCATAAAATCCAAACATAAAGCCAAGGCTTTGCATTGGAACAGTTCAGTATTATCATGGATATTAATAAGATTTGGCTGTTTATTAAGCACATATTAACGCATTATTCTGCATCAGCCAATACTTAACAACTACCTTACTAACTATTAATGAGCAGTTATTAGGAGTTTATTTATGCAAAGTTTAGTTATTAGTGAGAACTGGACCCTAAACTAAAGTGTGACCAAATACATACAATTTATTTATCTTAAGAATAAAATCTTAAGAATGATATTAAATGCTAATGAATGAGAGATGCACATTTGAAAACATTTTTTGCCTTTATATAATAATTTATACATCGAAACACAGTCAAATATATCATTCAAAACATATTTCTTTCTCTAATGCTCTCCATGGATATATTTATTGTATCAAAACGGCTGTAAAAACAGTAATATTGTGAAATATGATTACCACACTGTAAAAAATTGCTGTAGATTCTACAGCAAAATTCTACAGAAATTTATTGTTTTATCATTTTACAAGTTATTACTGTAATTCGCAATGCATTATGGGTCAAAAGGAGTATTACAGTTGTTTACTGTATATTTCCCTGTCAACTGTAAATTGATTTACAGGTAAGAGGTGTTTTCACTGTAGTTCATACGTTTTACAACAATTTACTGTGACGTGGCATTATGGGATTGCGCGGGCTGATTACATTTGAAATCTGGTGGACTGGAGCAGGGCAGGATCGAGTTGAAGATAAAAGGCACTATTTACTCAATTTTTGGTAAGTTAACTTAAATTTACGTCCATAAATATTTACAATCTAATGTATTACTTAATGAGCGATTCATATTTTGAACAGAATTCATAACATTGGCATGTCATTATATGCAATTATTGATCGACTTAACAACTGCGTGTTATCAGGACATTTAGTGTGATGTAAAAGTGTTTGATTCCTATATTTTCCATCGAAACGTTACGTGTATTTAGTAAAGCAATGTGTCTTTAATTTTAAATTTCTTGTTTCAGGCGAGGCAATCGCGACGGCGCGCGCTCAGTGGTGAGGCGATCTGAACTTACAAGCACAAGGTAAAACTATCTTAAATGTTATGGACGAATGCTGCAGTTTGTTACAGTTTTATTTGAATTTGCTCTCAAGAGAGTATTTTAGAGCATTGCAGTTTGCAAGACGACAGATCGGATCCACTTAAGTCTTGGTGAGAGTTAGCTTTCTTGACGAAAACATATTGGAATAGGCTATATTAACATCGTTGGATGCTGCTATTTTCTCATTTATTTTACCAGTTTTGATTTCGTTTGATTTCGATTTTCGTATGAGAGCATGTAAAACCAGTGTTTAATAAAGGCCTGCATCATAACTATTTAACGCAAATCAATTTGCAGCGCGCAATGATAGTAACGTTAACAGGCCTATGCCTGTTCGTCATGCTCTCCAGAGAGTATTTTTTCGAGCATTTGCATATTTTGCAGTTTGGAAAACAAGGCATACTGAAGTGCTCTTGAGAAGGAACGTAAATCCGCACGTGCAGTTAGCTTTGCTGATGAAAAACATTAGAATATGATTTTAACATCGTTGCATGATGCTGCTATTTAAATCATTTATTTCACTAGTTTGGATTTATTATTGAGAGCAAGTAAACCCAGTGTTTAACAAATCCCTGCGTCATAACTAAATTCAAAATGACTGGCAAAATATTTGAAAGTTAATTTTATTTTCTGTTCAAAGTTCCCATATTTATCGTTTTCTTATATACCTTGAACCTAAATCTAAATGAGAAATGTATCACTGTAAATTATCAATATGATAGCAATATCATTGTAGGTCACATTAATGTTCTAAACTGCTGTTTTACCTGTGGTGTAACGTTACCTGACTTTTCACGTGCATTTAAAAATGTGCAGCTTTTAAGTTTCATTTATAGAGACCATACAGGTTATCAGAAGTCTTGTAAAGGTGCTAGATTTGACCAGACACAACACTGATTTGCAAGATTGGATACCGTCATTTCACATGCATGTACAACTCTGAATTACTTAATTAGGCATTTAAAAATGCCATATTGATGAGGGCTGGGAAATCTCTCTGTACTGCATTTACTGCATACTGCACTTAATTACATTAATTTTTTTTTCCTTTTATTTTTTATTGTAGATGTCAGCAACAGCAGCTGAAGTGGAAAAAAGTTCTACACTTTCAGACTCTCTGAGACTAATTGTCTTAGGTAATGTACGTTCCAGAATCTTTAAATTACTTAATACATTTTGCCTGTTGTATTTTAGCATACATTTTTATAAACTGTTTTCTTTTTTCTCTTCATTTGTTTTATTTTTAGGTGAAATTCTCACTGCAACCCAGTGGATGCTGAGTATTGAGGGTCAAGTGGTTCTGAATCAACACCCCAATTTCATGGCTGAATTTGCTGCTTTGTTTGCAACTTACTACAACTTTAATCTGGTGTACCAGCACGAGGCATCCTGCACACTTGAATTTGTTCAAAGGTAACAGATTACTGAAATATAAATTTGTATATGTTAAAGGATTAGTTCATCTAAAAATTAATGTTAGTTCACCTGTCATTAATTAACTACTGGCCTTCGTTCATTTTCGGAACACAAATTAAGATATTTTTGATGAAATCTTACAGTGTTTCTGAACCACACATAGGCCACAAAATCATTGCAACTTCCAAGGTCCAGAAAAGCAGTTAAGACAATGTTAAAATATACCATGTGACTACACTGGATCAACCACAAAATCTCTTCTCTTCTGTGTCAATCTCTGACGCTGTAGTAAACAGTGCATCGCTTCCAGGTTCTACGTTAGAACAAAAAGTATTCTCATCACTTCATAACATTGAGGTTGATCCACTGAAGTTACATGGACTACTTTAATGAGGTTTTCACTACCTTTCTGGGCCCCGGACGTTGTAATGACGTTGTGGTCTATGTGTGGTTCAGATACCTCTCTGATTTCATCAAACACATCTTAATGTGTGTTCCTGAAAATGAATGAAGGTCAGTAGTGACAGATTAACGAGTAATTAATTACAGAAATGTCATTTTGTGGTGAACAAATCCTTTTTAGTAGTGCAAATAATGCTTATTGTAAAGTGGTATATTTTCATAAGTCTGCACATGATCCTAAAGCTTCTGCTTGTATTTTTCTCACTGATTTTTGAGCAGATGTTTACCAAGAACATCAATGAAAGTGGAAAGACCTCAGAGAAGAGGCACAACACAGTCAATCCTACTCTTCTCATTAGGCTACCCTGTGGACCTTGAGTGGTTAAGCATGTGAGTTGTCAAATGTATATATAAAACAAAAAAATGAGATGTCTATAATTACACAAAATGTAAAAAAGTACAAAATGTAAGATGTGAGTTAACAATTTTGACATTCTGTTGTTTGAGCTTAAAGGGATAGTTCACTTTGAAATTAATTTTTGATATGTTTGATCTTACCTCAAGGGCATCCAAGATGTAAGTGTCTTTGTTTCCACAGTATTTTCAATTTTGACATTTTTCAGTCAAACCGTTGTTGTCTATCAGTCATACACTGGAGGCTAAGGGGGTCCACCAAAGAGCATGCACAGAGAAGTCCAAATTAAACATGATTTAATGACTCGTAAATGTAAGTAAACATTGATGGCCTAAGACCCGAAACGAGCGGTTTTTGTGAGAAAACGAACAGTATTTGTATCGTTTTTACCTCGTGTAGTCACAGTGACGTCCAAGTGACCTGAATCAGTTGTTCAATGTCCAACTGAACCGAACTGAATCAGTTCAATGTTACGCCGGAAGTGATCGCTTGCGTGTGACGTCACTCAATATTTACACGGAGATTTCGGAAGTTTTACCTTTTACTAAACATATTTAGATATACCGAAATCGTCTTTAAAGGGTTAGTTCACCCAAAAATGAAAATTAAGTCATTAATTACTCACCCCCATGCTGTACCAACCCCGTAAGACCTTCGTTCGTCTTCGGAACACAAATTAAGATATTTTTGATTAAATTTGAGAGCTGTATAACTACCACATTGGCTCCTAAGGGACTGCCTCTTGACGGCCCAGAAAGTCAATGAAGAAAATGTTTAAATATCCCAAGTGACTACCGTGGCTCAACTATATGTTTATCAAGTGACATGAATACTTTTTGTGCGAAAAAACAAACAAAAATAACGAGTTTATTTGACTATTTCTTTTCTTCCTTGTAGGCCAGAACGAGAATTCCTTAGATTTCCACGACGCATGTGCGAGATTTGCGATCTGCTTACACCAGCTTAGATCGCAATTCTCGCGCATGCGTCGTGGAAATCTAAGGAAGTCTCGTTCTGGCCTACAAGGAAGAAAAGAAATAGTAAGGCAAAATAGGAGGCAAAAAGACAAAATAATTAATCAGAATACCTAGCAAAAGTGTCTCCTGCTCCTCGCTCATGGACAGCTCCTATTCATACTCTCCGCCTCTGCATGTATCGGAAGGGAATGATTCAGATTTCACATGCCACTGCACTAGATGACAGACGGTTTGCTCTCGTCACATCTACGTCGTCAAGCTCTGTTTGAGTCTGCGCGTCAGGGACGGAAGTGCTAACAAATTGCCAAAAACGGGCTTCAATCGTCTCAATGGAGTTCCAATGAGATCGCTCTGTCCATTTCTTTTACTGTCTATGGTATAAACAAAGAGTGACGTAGGCGCGCAAGCGATCACTTCCAGCGCATGCGCAGACCGAAGCGCCCGTGCCGGCAGATCATTTTGTCGTGGCTATGATTACAAGAGGTAAAAATGATATAAATCCTGTTCGTTTTCTCACATAAACCACTCGTTTCGTGTCTTAGGCCATCAATGTGTACTTACATGTACGAGTCATTAAATCATGTTTAATTTGGACTTCTCTGTGCTGCTCTTTGAGGTGAACCAATTGAGGACCCCCTTCACCTCCAGTGTATGACTGACAGACAACAACGGTTTGACCAAAAAATGTCAAAATTGAAACTACTGTGGAAACAAAGACACCTACATCTTGGATCCCCTTGAGGTAAGATAAAACATATCAAAAATTAATTTCAAAGTGAACTATCACCGAAAAATGGAAAATCATTCACCATTTCCTCACCCCCATGTTGTTAAAAACCTGTATGAGTTTCTGTCTTCTGCTGAACTTAGATATTTTGAAGAATGTTGGTAATCAAACAGTTGGTGGTAGCCATTTACTTTCAGTTGTCTGGTTACCAAAATTCTTTAAGATATCATCTTTTGTGTTCAACAAAGAAAGAAACTCATACAGATTTGGAACAACTTGAGGGTGAGTAAATGATGACAGAATTTTCATTTTTGGATGAACTATCCCTTTAACTTTTATTGAACCCAGTATCTTGGTGTTAAGCCTTATTTGTAGTTATTTTGTGACTGATTTTGAAAAGATTTTCTGTACTTGAAATTTGAATTTGCTGATTATTTTAATAAATATTTTTCTACAACAGCTTTGACTTTGTGTTTGTTTTTTTAAATGATTATTTTAATGCATCTACATCAATATAATGGTAAATAATAGAGTACAGTTCACTGTTAAAATGATTCTTTTCAGCTTTTTAAATGTTAAACTATTACAGCATCTACTTGAATTTTGGGGGTATTTTACAGGATTTTATTGGCAATTTTATTGCCAGGTAAATACTGTACTTTAGTGAAATTACAAAATATTGCTGTAAAATAAAATACAGGTTTAATTCAATGTTACTGTAAAAAACCCTATAAATTACTGTATACCTATAAATTTAATATACAACAATCAACTGTAAATTGCTTTACAGTATTACACTGTAATCAATTTTACAGCAATTTCCAACATTTTTACAGGATTTTATTGGCAACTTTTTTGCCAGTAAATTCCTGTAAATTCTACAGGAAATTTTTTACAGTGAAATAACTATTATATTCGAATGCATTTAATTTATTCCTATGATCAAAGCTGAATATTCAGCATCATTACTCCAGTCTTCAGTGTCACATGATCCTTCAGAAATTACTCTAATGATGATCTGATGATCAAGAATTCTTTGATTTATAGAAAGTGTATTGTTTTGTAACAGTGTAAAAGTCTTCACTGTCACTTTTGATGAATTTAATGCATCCTTGCTGTATAAAAATATAATTTCCTTGACAAAAAATACTTTGGTAACACTTTACAATAATGTCTCATTTGTCAACATTATTTAGTGAATTATCTAACTTACAATGAGCAATACATTTGTTACAGTATGTATTCATCTTTGTTAATGTTAGTTAATAAAAGTCCAGCTGTTCATTGTTTGTTCATGTTAGTTCACAGTGCATTAACCAATGTTATAAAACGGTTAGTTCCTTGATTCTGATTGGTCGGCTATGACCGCTTCACCCACCGGTTCTATGTATCACTGCGCAACACTGCGGTTCCAATTTCCTATAGTATGTTGTGTTTATTTGAGCTTTAATCATATTACACATTGAAACGTTGTTGCTGTTCACGGTCAGGGACTATTTTTTCTCTAGCGGAAGGAAGGCTTTTAGTGATTTTGCTTCATGAAAATTGCTCTAATACATTTTTTTTCTTTAATATTTGTATTGTGTGGTTACCATTTTAGAAAAGCAATAAGGTACTCGAGGCAAGTGCTGTATCATGAATAAGTAACGGCTGAAGGGGTTAATCCGCTTCGCGTCGAGCCTAACAACGTCCTTCAGCCGTTACTTATTCATCATACAGCACAGCCTCTCGTACCTTAGAATGACGAAGTTAAGACGTTACTCTGTAGGCCAAAACGCGGAAGTGAGTTAGCATTTAGCATTCCCGGATCCCTCGCTCTAAAGTCTATGGGTTTTTTGAACGGGTTTTTGCTAAATTGCCTGAAATAGGGTCTGTGGTGAACAAAGCCTCTAAATATTTTCACGTTTTGATCTATGACATAGAACATACAGTTATAACCTGCTTGTGGTTTTTTAAACTTTATTGTGTCTGCTTGTGTTTTTTAAAAACTTTATACAGGCTTCAAAATGTATAAATTTTGGATTAACTTGTAAAGATTATCTTGATAGACAAAACGTGTAAGGGTCACAACTCTTTGTTTAACACAGATCTTATTTTTTGCGATTTTTGCGAAGTCTATGGGAATTGCTTTCGCTAACTTCTGAGTTGTCTTACAAAGTGACGCCATCACTTCGGCACTCTATTGCTCACTTATACCATGGTCTGGGTGAATACTTGATTCTGATTGGCTGCAGGGTGTCCATTAAAAAGTGAGAGACTGTCTCACAACGACCAATTCCTATGAATTCGACGCATGATTAAAAAGTGGCTAATTCGCACTCGTACTAATTCGTACGATTTGTCTAAACCCACGTGATGGTTAGGTTTAGGGGCGGGGTAAGGGGTAGGTCATTCGTACGAATTCATACGAATTGGCCAATTCGTAAAATATGTACGATTTAGCAAAATCGTATTAATTCGTACGAGTGAGGTCGTATGAATTGTTACGAATTAGCCACTTTTTAATCATTCGTCGAATTCGTACGACTTGGTCGTGAGATCGGGTTGGTTTTTCTGAATTAACGAGTTCATTATAAAAGATAATTTTTCATGGAATTTTTTTTTTACTCTGTTTTTCTGAATTAATGACTTGATTATCTCAAAAACTTAGAAAAACAGAGCAAAAACTTTTTTTCCATGAAAAATGATCTCGTAATTCTGAGATAATGAACTTGTTAATTCAGAAAAAACAGAGTAGATTTTGTTCCCTCAAGTGAATGCAATACGCTTCCGTACCTACCTGTGTGTTTTAATTTAGGTTAAAAAAGCGAAAGTGTAAGCTGTAAGTGCAAGCTGAGCGGACTATACATATCTCCGCTTGCTAAATAAACCATAAGGCCTAACCAGGGAAACCCAGTTATTGTTTGTAAAAAGTTTCGATTTTGATTGTAAAACGAAAAACGTGTTATTTGGCAAGTGACCATGGTATAAGCGGGTTTATGCCCTTCGAGGTGTCCGTCATCAGGTTTTAGTGGACTTCGGAGGAGGCAACCGTCCAACTGACGATAGACACCTCATCGGGCATTATCATAATTAATGCGGTAGAACTATTGTTGCATGTTAACTAAGGTAGTTAAAGGTATAGCGGAGGATTTTCTTTTTCCGGGTGGGTAGTCTATTGGTCCACCTAAGTGTCAATCATTCTGGTGATATGTTTACGTAAGGCCGTCGTACGTGCTCATCCCTGGCACAAGTCATGCACCGGATAGACACGGTAAACATCTCAATTTGTCTAAAGTAGCCTTTTGACCAAATGATAAATGGTATCACCCTGAAATATTCTAAAACCTTGTGTGTTCATGTGTTCATATTCTAAAACCTTGTGTGTTTATTATTACACAAATGCAACAAGCTACTTCTCCATTACATATGCAACTATGTATAAAAATAACGTATTATTAACAATGA